GGAAAAGAATATCAAAGTAAAAGAATGAGTTTGGATGCCCACCAAGACTCTGAGAATCACTATGCGATTTAAACTCCTTGGGCTGAAGGTACTACGATTCCTAAGATTTTCCAAAGTCAGTTCTAGACAAGGAATCACAAGCCACTCACTGACTTGCACAGTCCTTCAGAGATTATTAAGCATATTACTTCCATCAGTATCGAATGGTTGAAGTCACTACTGTAGATATTTACACCAACTATTTCAATAAATTATCATCTGTTAAAAAAATGTGTGATATGATCATAATAATCTGTGAGAAAAATTGTTCCATGACCTTTAACAATTTTTGTCGAAACATTAAAAACTCTCACTGTTGGTTACAAATGTATAAGGAAATGAAAACAATAGCAAAAGTACTATTTATTTAATATACTATTTTATTTTTTTTTAAGTTTATTTATTTATTTATTTGAAAGAGAGAGAGAGAGCAAGCAAGAGTATGAGCAGGGGTAAGGGTGAGAGGGAGAGTGAGAAGTAGACCCCCCCCGCCCCTGAGCAGGGAGCCAGTGTGGGACTCAATCCCAGGACTCTGGGATCATGACCTGAGCCGAAGGCAGACACTTAACCGACTGAGCCATCTAGGTGCCCTAATATATTATTTTAAAACATCAGAAACATTGAGAATTAAAGTGGTTTTTTTAATTTGTAAAAACTTACCAAGGGCACTTTGAATTGTTTCCTCCTTCTCATGGTATAATTACAATACAGAGCAAGCATCTTTTCCATGCCTTAGTGAACTGTCATATTCCTTTCTTCTAAGTTTGCATTACCTTCCATCACTTCATCCATTGTGCCTTCAAAGCTGTGAAGTATTTCTCAGAATTCTTTCAATGTGAAGTTTTCTGATAGTGCCACTTCCTGGGGACAACTTCATTCTTCTCATCACAACCACTTTCCTCATTCATGTTGATAAGTTCACCTTCCCCAGGTCCCCAGATTTCTCTGGCTGCACATTCAGAGTCTCTTGAATGTCTACCTTTCCACAAGCAGAGGTTTCTTCCATGATTTCATTTACGTTTCATTCAAATTTCATTTCCAGCATTTTCACTTTTTATTTCATTATTGCACTTTCACCTTTGTCAATTTTCTCTCTCGATTTCCCATTTTTGTAAAATATTATGTGGATTTACCACCAGGTAAGAAGGAGACAACTTAACTGTCCACTTGGCACTCTGTGTGTAAAGTGAATGACAGATGTGTAGTGACCAATCAATGAGACTTTGAAAGACGTGATGTGATTGGTAACAGATCATGATATATGTCTGTTATTTATGTGGTGATTTGTGAATTGAAGGGCAGGTAGCTATTACTTTATGTAAGTACTCAAATTTCAAATCCTGTGGTAATTGGAATTTGAACCATGTTGTTGGGGGACTGAGGTAATTTAACTAAACCACAGTAACTGAAAGTCATGCATATAGGAACTGTGTAAAGTGAGGTTTGCCTGTCATTTAACTCATTATTTTAAGACTTTTCTACGAAGACAAACTAATTCAGAGTACAGTAAAAATGTGCATGCATGCTTAAGATGAAATATGAGACTTCAATGAAATTGTGTTCTTCACCTACAGATTCCCAGGTATATGAGGTATTCTCTGTCATTAGGAGACTTTAGTGGTGAAGTTTGAGAAGCAGAGCCTTATTATGGATAGAATGATCCCATACGTAACTTGGTCTAAGTTGGCCTAAGAGAAAAGTTGATTAGTGTAGACAGGTGATTTAGATGGCACCAAGGAATACATTATTAATGAGATATACGTTATTTCCTGTGAAGATGAAACAGGTATTTTCCACTATCTTTCTAAACTTCCTAAAACTTCGTGTAGGTAGCTTTGTTCAAGTGACAATGAGTGAGGGAACTTGTGAAGGAGGAGGAAGGGATTTAAAAGTACAGAGCTTTAAAAGTATATGCTCATTTTCCCCTTACATCCCAAAGTTCCAAATGCTTACTTAGGATAAACAAGACTTTCTTCCTATTCCCTCAGAAGATTTAAAACTGTTTATGACAAAAGTATAAGTATAATAAGACTAAACATTTCCAGATAAAAACTAAATCTAGGGGCGCCTGAGTGGCTCAATGTGTTAAGCGTCTGGCTTTGGCTCAGGTCATGATCTCAAGGTCCTGGGATTGAGCCCCGTGTTGTAGGGCTCCCTGCTCAGTGGGAGCCTGCTTCTCCACCTGCATTTCTGCCTGCTTCTCTGTCTCTGCCCCTCCCCCTGCTCGTGCTCTCTCTCTAAGAAATAAAATCTGTAAAAAAATAAAATTGAAAAATAAAATTAAAATCTAGTGCAGTGATGAGAGAAAAGATAAGAATTGACATGGTTCATTACGTATTTTTCCGGGGATCCATTATTAGCATTATAGGAAGAAATCTTGGAGAACAGTTAATATGTTCTTATTGCAAAATAAGTTTTAAGGCACTGGAAAGAATCTGAAGGGGAAAATATTTTCTCCTGCTAGGTGAGAGATCCATAGTCTAAATGTAAGGAGAGAAGGTAAGAGGGATATAGAAACAAAAAATTTCTAGCTGCTACTATACACCACAGCATGTTAAATACCTTTCCTGTTTTATAATGTTTAATTGTGATTAAAACCCTGAGATGTAGGTATCAAATAATACTATTTTTACATCTGAAAAATCTGAAGGTCACCAAGTTAGAGAGTTTGGAAAATCCAGATTAACCTAATTCTAACTCCATTCACAGGTAATATGCCAGATGTGTTACTATGTAAGAGTAAACATGAAAATGGTAGAGTTTGATTTATATTCTTGCCCTAATTTGAGAGCTAACTTCCTTCTCCTTAGAAGGATTTTTGCCTTCATAATGATTCTGCCACATATTACTTGAAGTCTTCTCAGAATCCCCAGGCACAGTGAACTCTTCTTTGTATTTCAGTAACAATTGTATAGATCTCTATTAGAGCTTCACCATGATTTTTGTTTACATGGTTAGAAGCCATCAAACTGATTTCAAAATCTGCAGACAAGGCCACAAGTAACTGGTTAACTTCTGCCTGCTTTGGGTTCAGTTCACTCTTCTTTCTCTAGTATCTTTTTTTTTTTTTAATTTTTTTTAAGATTTTATTTATTTGCGAGAGAGAATGAGAGACAGAGAGCATGAGAGGGAGGAGGGTCAGAGGGAGAAGCAGACTCCTTGCTGAGCAGGGAGCCCGATGTGGGACTCGATCCCGGGACTCCAGGATCATGACCTGAGCCGAAGGCAGTCGCCCAACCAACTGAGCCACCCAGGCGCCCCTTTTCTCTAGTATCTTAAGGTAGAAGGTTAGGCTATTGATTTGAGATCTTTCTTCTTTTTTAGTGTAGGTGTTTACAGCTATAAAATTTCCCTTCAAGCACTGCTTTAGCTGCATCCCATAAGTTTTGCTATGTTGTGTCATTTTTAGTAATCTCAAAGTATTTCCCAATTTTTCTTGTGATTTTTTCTTTGACGGATTGCTTATTTAGGAGGCTGCTATTTAATTTCCATGTATTTGTCAATCTTCCAAATTTCTTCATTAGTGATTTTTAAATTTACTTCACTGTGGTCAAAGAACATACTTGGTATGATTTCAATCCTTTTAAATTTATTGAGATTTATTCAATTTCCCAGCCTATGGTCTATCTTGGTATATGTTCCGTAAGCATTTGAAAAGAATGTGCATTCACCTGTTACTTGAGAGAAGACTTTTACAAATGTTAATTAGATCAAGTAGGTTGATATTATTTTGGTTTTCTATATCCTTATTTATTTTCTATTCCATCAATGATTAAAGGAGGGGTAATGAAATCTCCAATTATAATAGTGAATTTGTCTACTTCTCCTTTCTGTTTTGACAGCTGCTGCTTCATTTATTTGGAAGCTCTGTCCCTGTGTGCATATATATTTATGATTATTATGTCTTCTTGAGGGATTGATCCCTAAAGATCATTATGTACTGTTGCTCTTTATTTCTGTTAATACTCCTCATTCTGAAGTCGACTTTGTCTGATACTAAAACAGCCACTCTACCTGTCTTATGTTTAGTGTCTGCATGGTATATCTTTATATTTCAAGTATACAGCTGACCTTTGAACAACATGGGTTTGAAATGTGCAGGCCCACTTAAATGCAGATTTTCTCCAATAGATACAGTACAGTACTATAAATGCATTCTCTTTCTTATGATTTTCTTAGTAACATTTTCCTTTCTCTAGCTTACTTTATAAGAATATAGCATATAATATATAAAAAATGCAAAATATGTATTAATCAACTGTTTATGTTATCATTAAAGCTTCCAGTCAACAGTGGGCTATTAGGAGTTAAGCTCTGGGGGAAAGTTATACATGAATTTATGACTGTGGCAGTGGGGGATGAGGTAGTCAGCACCCTTAACCCCCATCTTGTTCAAGGGTCAACTGTAGTCAGGTTTTGTTTTTTAATCACTTTGATATCTTTTAATTGCAGCATTTAGACCATTTATATTTAAAGTTATCATCAATATGATTGGGTTTAAATCTATTATCTTGCTATTTGTTTTCAGTTTGTCCCATCTAGTCTTTGTTTTTCTTTTTATTCTTTGTTTCTTTTTTTTAATCTTTTAGATAACCTGGGTATTTTAAAAAGATTGTATCACCACTGTTGGCTATTAGCTATGCCTCTTCATTTTTTTAGTGATTACTCTATAGCAGGGGTTGACAAACTATGGTCCATGATGAAAGCTGGCTTGCTGTCTGTTTTTGTAAATAAAGTTTTCTTGAAACATAGCCACCATCCATTTGTTCAAATACTCTTTATGGTTCCTTTCATGACACAGAAGCAGAGTTAGGTAGTTGTAACAAAGACCATAAGGCCCACAAAGCCTAAAATATTTACCATCTAAACCTTTACAGAAAAAGTTTGCTGATTACTTCTATGGTTTAAATTTAAGAATTAAGATCCAATAACAAAATTCAATTCCTCTGACAATTACTCACGTTGTTTTCTTGGTTCTTGTTGTTCTTCAAGAGTGTAATAATACAATTATGAATAAAGAAAGCAAGGGTAAGCACTCCAGTCAGCTGTGGAAACTGAAATCTTATCTCTAGGAGAAAAAGAGAGTGGAAAAAAAAAAAAAAACAAACCACAATACATTAAAAGTGACAGCCAGAAAACGAATGTTAGTAGCCAAAAGTTGACTGCCAAAAATTAGTTGCCTCTGCCTTATCCAGGGAATAAGAATATTAAAATGTCTTTACAAAGTTCCTCAAGGCTGGCATTATACTTGAGCAAAGTACTTGAAAAGGGAAAGAAAAGGAATTAAGAAATGACTACTCTGTGAGGGTATTTCACATCAGTTAATGCTGTTTGAGGTCACACAACTAGTGTGTGGCACAGCAGGTTTCAAATTTAGAACTCTAAAGGTCTTCCTCTTCTAATATCTGAATTTGCCAGAAAAACACCTTTAGAAAAGGAATCAGAAAAAGGGAGAATTGGTCATTTAACATTTTTCAAGGGCTAATGTAAAAGGCACTGCTTAAAAATACAGAAATAACAAATGTCTACACAGAGGGGAATGGTTAAACTAGGATATAATTGCTCTGTGGTATATAGTACATAAGAATTATGTTCTAAAGAAAGGTTTTATGCTATGGCAAATGTTAACGACTCAAATAGCATGTATAGTATGATTTTACATTTATTTTTAAAAGTTTGTGTGTGTATATATATACGTATGTATGCTAAGAAAAAGGATTGGGGGAATAATCACAAAAGTTTAAATAGTTATTATCTCTAAATTTTCTATAATAAATTCAAAGTTAATATGAAATAAGAACAATAAAATAATAAATATTTCAAAAGTACTGCCAATTTCTGTCTTTGAGGTTTGCTAACACAAAAATGAAAAACTGCTTTTATGTAAAATAAGATCAAGATTTACAGTGCTGTATCTAGGCAAAGTAGGTGGCAAAAGTGAAGAACAACCTGTCTCAAGAGATTCCTTAGTTATAAAAAGAAAAGAAAGTCCACTGATTTTTGCAATAGTATTTAGGAAAGGAAATAAGAATAACTAAGAAGCAAGCACTGGCTCTGAAATAAATCAGGATGTAAGAGTTTAAAAATTATATACTTTAGTTTTCCATTAAGTTTTTGTTGGTCTATTAGCTTTCATCTAAATTTTCATTTGCAGAAGCAATTCAAAGTCTATTTTTCTGGGGTGCCTGGGTGGCTCACTCAGTTAAATGTCTGACTCTTGGTTTTGGCTCAGCTCATGATCTCAGGGTTGTGAGATCGAGCCCCGTGGTGGGCTCTGCACTGGGCATGGAGCCTGCTTAAGAGTCTCTCTCTCCCTCTCCCACTGCACCCACCCCTCCCACCCATGTACACATGCTCTCTCTAAAAAAAATAAAATAAAATAAAACAAAATATTTTTCTCAGGAAAAATTTCCCCTTTTCTGTCTATAAGCTTTTAACTTTTTTTTACATCTAAGCAATAAAATAAAATGTGGGGGCAACTCCCACTTCTGTTTAAAAAAATAAAAATTTTAAAACAATTTTATTTT